CGTAAGGCTGCCAGAACCCTGGACAATTTTCAGCATTTGAAACGCCTCGTCCGCAAATCCTAAGGACGAGAAAAGATTTTGTTGTTTCTCTCATTTATTCACAACCTTCTTCAGGGCGCCGCAGTTGTTATTTTGGGCCGGTGAATTTGCAGGGGATGTAATGCCACACGCAACACCAGTAACTTTACGTGTTTTGCGCGTACATGAAACATTGTCTCTCAGTTTGAAGGAAGAACTTAACCGAGTGTTCAAGATGAAGACACCGAGAATATTTGTAATTAAAATTAACAAAGTAACAGGGAAATAGAGAAAATTACATAACCAACACCTTTACAGTTTTAAGAGTGCTTAATTAAAGAACACTTCAATACATGACGTACCATTTGTGGGGGGAAAATAAATGCATATGAAATTTTGTTCACGAGTCGTAAGACAACGAAGATTGCAGAAATTGGATTTTCGCAGTACAAACTGAACTTTTGTGACGATGGTGATGAACCTCGAGGTTCCACAACACCGCGGAATTTCTGTATCAGCCCAAAAAAAACTGCCAAAATTTAGTCCAACTGAGAAGTGTAAGATGCTGATAAAGTATCACTCGGTTATCATCTGATCCTCAAGGACGACATTTATAATTTGTCTGACGAGTTCCTCTTCAAGACAGGTCTGAGTATTTACTTCTAGGCACGACTCAGAAATTCAGGCACTTCTCAATTTATTTTCCTTCCTTCCTTCTCATTCTCCACAAATTCGCTTCACGTATTTTGTGAAGTTTTACTTCATTTCCACTCGTAACAGGAACACTCCCTTTTCCTTCACGTATTTTGTGAAGTTTTACTTCTCTCCCACTCGTAACAGGAAAACTCCTTTTTAAATTCAGTAAACAATTATTTCAAGTCCTTTTACTTTAATTACCTCAAGCTTCAGACATTTTTGTTAATCCATTTTGTATCTTAGGCACATGTCGCCGTATCAGCTTCAGTCAGTGTCAAGATATTTCAATGTACGACCCTCACATTCATGTTCTTCACAGGAGAAAACCAACGCAGTCAGGGCGCTGGCTCAACAACACCGCGAGGAAGAACAGCAGCAGGGCCAGTCGCTTCGACAGCCGACGCCCGTAGAGATGAACAAACCGGCGCCGTGCCACCCTCGAGATGCGAGCGGCAGTGTGAGTCCGGGGGTGCCAACTGCGACACTTGACCTCAGCTCCGTCACGACCGCCACTTCACCGCACGAGCTGTCGACACTCGTGTGATTCATCGCGACTTCCGCTTTGTAATGTGGCGATGAAGTGATAGAAAGTGAATTTTAACTTCAGGCAAAATAACACCTACTTTTTGATACAGCCTGTACAAAACGTAAATGAAACTTTGCTCCGGCAATGAAGAAATGATTTTATCTTTTTCGTACGTTCTTTGACGATCGAAGACAATCTTCCTCGTGTGGAATTTAGACTACGAATACTTGCCGATAGAATTCGCGTGTTTTTGGCGTCACGTGTCAACAAAACGTCACTTACCTTCCTGTTATCTGTGACTGAAGATTATAAAAGTAACGCATCGATCTTTGTCTCTTGGATTATTTAATGACGTTATATTTATTGGCATTATACAATTTTCTTTTGTGGAAGATTATGAAGTCAGTTGAAAGGATTGGGGCGAACGCCCCTTCTTCATCACGAATTAAGCCCCTCGACCAATCGTGGCCCTGGGATTTTATAACTGACGAGTCCTTCCCCTTGGAGTTGTCTTCTTGAATTATTTCTCCATTTTAGTTTGTATTTTAATCTTTCAATTGTCTTCTTGCTCAGTTAAAAGTCGTCGTGGCTGTTTGTGGGCGATGACTCAGAACTAAACTGATCTGATTTTAGAACGTCACAGGAATTTTGATTTTAATGTGGGTGTGAAGTTTATACAGTAGTTGGCAAACAAGTTTGCTGGTAGAAGGTGCACGGGAAATGGCCGAGGAAATGAGGCGCGACAGACGGCCCATTTTGAATGCCGTGTGCAAAAACCAGATTGTTTCTACGCTCGCTCGTTTGGCTTCTGCTGTATGAAGGGAGATCCTTCGGTCAATAACACGACCAGACTTTAATTTCACCACTGAGAGAGCCCTCTATGTAAAAAGGCACTACAAATAAACTTCACGGCTATTTTCCAGCATTTTTTTAAACTTCCTTCTCAAACACGTTAACCATAAGAAAGCCTCGGAGATCAGTGAACATTTATGGTTTTCATTCGTGGTCCTCGTTTCGTTTCCATGTATTAGCAACATCTGATTCTCTCGTAACGACTGTTTTATTATGACTTAAACACAGAAAAATATTTCTAGAACAAACAAAACTAAATATATGCTTGATTACACAGCATCAGTCTAAGAGAAAGAACGCAAAGCCTCTACATCATATAAAAAAGTTTCTTCACTTTGAAATATTATAAATAAACTTAAAAACAAAAGTTAAGGGTGCATTTTCTGCCAACCATAAACTGAAACATCACATATTTAACCTGTCTGCAAAGTTTAGTTAACGTTTCTCGTGCTACGTCTAAGATAACTTGCGTTTAAGGGAATTTATGATATTCAAGGTCATTGCAAGAAATGCGTTACGTCAGATGTTCTCGACTCAAGAAATATGGGAAATGGGAACCTGCCACTGGGCACGACAATTAGGACCAAATATCAAGTTTGGTCGTCTCGTACAGATGCGAGTAGCTTCAAACGCGGGCCAACTATTCCATCATTTACGTAAATCATACTTGGGAGAAGTCGTATCATTTTATTGCACGTCGTGCCGGAGAATTCAAATAATAGATCACGGTCTTCACCCCAAAAATATCAAAACACCAAAATTCACGTGCGCTTATATACCAAGAAATGTGTAGTATTTTTCAGTGATTACAGAGATACTTGATTTATTAATAATTAATAAATGAATGAATTTATAAATAAATATTCAAGAATTAATGATTTTGTAAATAAATTGCTTGTGAACTCAGTTCATTAACCCCAGGTAATGTCTGAATAAAACACAGTATTTCCGTGTGTGCGCACGTAAAAGATTATTTCTGATTAGTCTCGAGAAGTGGAACCATAAATTTGGAGTTTGAACGCGTCTAATTTTGATACAAGTACGAAGCCATTATTTGCCGTTGTAGAATAAGTTTCTATGCACGTCCGGTCTCTCAACACTGATGAGGAAATTATTTCTTGTATCACACCTCTGCCCACGTTCTACCCCTCACATCTGCCGGCCAGTCGAGTCTCGTGCTGCGGGAGAAATGAAGATCGAGGGTTTTTTGGGAACGGAGTGCCGAGAAGAATATTTGGGCGTAAGAGGAGAGGAACAAGAGGATGCACAAGATCACACATTGACGAGCTCCATAATTTGTACTCTTCACCAAATATTATTAGGACGATCGAAGCACGGAGGATGAGATGGGCAGGACGTGAAGCATGCTTTGGAGACGAGCAGAAATGCATATATATATAGTTTTAGTCCGAGCCCACTTGGGAAACCTAAGGATTGATGGCACGTTAATAACTAAAGCTATGGACTCGATTCATCTAGTTCAAGAAATGGTCCAATGGCGGGTCCTAAATACATTAATGAACCTTCAGGTTCCAATAACAGCCAGGAACTTCTTGACTGGTTACATTTTCTGAAATATTTTCTTAAATATTCAGCGGAATCTCTCAATTTGAGACCTTCCACAATTTAGCGTTCAAATCCGACTGGATCGCGGTGGGTAAAGATTATGGTCCAGCGGCAAGATTTTGTTAACAGATCTCCAGGATGAAGACGGCCGTCTTCTGGGTTGTTGCAACTCGTAGCCTCGTAGAAGTTTACTAACATTTCAGAGGTCCCTGATGATGATGGAGGAAGCAGGGACCTATAAAACGCTGTTAAACTTCTATCAGACTACACGGTGCAACAACTCGGAAGACGGCCGTCTTCAGATTCACTGCTGTGAAAACCTCAAATCCTACAAGATCTCCGGGATGCTCAAAAGCAATGAACTGCGTATCAGCTTGAAAACTTTATAGTTAATGCGTACACAAAGGGAAGTTAATTTACTTCAGAACATAAAAAACATTTCCATTAAAAATGACTTGTTGAATGCGCTTCTTCAGCCACATCATAATAAACTCAAAAAACTCCCCAATGTTTACAATTATGCCGCTAAGCCCTAGAGCTCCGACGAGTCTCACACCTGAAGGTTCAGCTCTCGAAATGTGGACAGAGGTACTCTGTCTCTCAATCACAAACCTCGGCAACGATTATTCCCCCATATACAATCTGAAGCGGCGAAATATAATTTTGAAATATCAACTTTAAATATATCGAAGTGAAACGGTTAAAACAGATGAAAGTTGTTCTTCATTGTCGGCACGCGCACAGTAATCGGGGCTAATCAGCGCATTCTGTGCCAGAAGCAAGAGGCAAGGATACCAGAGGGAACGGAGGGGTAGCGGATAAGGAAGCACGTACCGTCCATACTACGGACATTATTTCGCGGTGGTTTACGTCCCAGTTCCCATGTCAGTCACGTCTATGAATTACGTAGTATGTGTGTTCGTCTGCGCGCGCAATTTGGCGTGGGTACTGACCTTAATTTGTGTGCACTAAAGATATTCAAGTTTCAGATGGTATAACCTACGACAGTGGAGTTAAAGACGTTTCAGAGGTTCTCTGCGAGTGATCAATACACATTACACAAATATGGTCCCAAAAGAAAAAAATACTTTGTTCTAGCCCCTACTTAATCACCACAATCTCGACACACTTCTCCCTATCAGTGAAGCGCATGACGAGTAACGGTACCGCGGTCATCAGCGCTCAGCAGACCGGTATCCAAAAGTAGCTCCTTCACCCCAATGCCGACAGCTGCGGAGAATAATCAGTGTGGTATCACTGCTTCACGTCCACGTGCTTTAAACTCAATTGTAATCTTCCTCGCTCCACGGCTTAGCACCGCGGGTGAACGAGCTTCCGCTGCGCTCTTTAACCTTTATGTACAGATGACACACTACGGAGAACTTCTGTAACGTCTGTTCCATCTACCTCGGCATCTTTCACGCGGTCTCAGATGTTCACAGGTTGTTGCAAAACTAGACGCTGCCGTTCAGTAGTTTCTCGGCTCTGGCCACGAGGAGTTTCTTCCCTCCCATGAAACTGCCTTTGAGTTCAAATTCCATTATTTGTGCGTCGTATTCATTCTTCAGCCAGACTCGACAAAATGGGCTGAAATGTATGAGAAAGTTAATATCCTGTATGAAAAGAACACGGATTACGTTCACAAACTTAGGGAAGCTTTATTACGGCTATTGATCACGACAAAATAATCACGCACGCATCTTATTTTTCCTTGCAATCGCGCTGCCTTCCAATGCATGTAAACTAAGTCTTTTTGCCCAGAACATGCATCGTCACCGACTCGTCAACCCTCCTTTGAACGCTTGTGCCCAGTTAAAAACTGTCCTCCTGCTCAGCTGTCATTTTCCCACAAACTGCGCTAGTTTTCATAGTTTTATGATCACAGAGTTATTTTTCCTGCGCTAAATCGATAAAGAGGCAAAGCTAACTAAACATGTCACAGTACTACCACTATTCAAAAGATAATGAAAATCAAACGAGATAAGGTTCATATTGTAAACGTCTAACCACGTTTCTCAGCGCCACCGTCATGACAGTCGAGTAAACTAAAATTGCGTTCCAATTCTTCGCTTTGCCTCGTTCTACTTCCATTACCAACCACAAAATTGTAGAGTGTTTCCATTCAATAAACAAAAGAATTGCATACTCACAGGTTATGCCGGCTCGTTCTTTCTATCGGCGATACGTGGACTGGAGTTATTTCAAGTCTTCTGGCCAATTGTATTACATCAATTACATCAGCTTGAGGTGGAAGATTGCCAATAACCACGTCTTTGGCATATACTTTCGGCCTTTCAACTAAACAAATGAACACTGGTGTAAAATCATGTCAAACATCTGGACCACGAATTATTTTGAGGTGAGATCACTTCAGCTGCGACTCACAATCTCTACAGAACAGCAACGTAAAAAAAAAAAATACACAAGCGATCGCGATCTTCCTGTACCAATATGTTAACGTCACTCAATGCTTAATTACACATCATCAAAGACAAATCATTAAATGATAACGTGAAAACCAACTGACAAGTCGGTGACGTATCCATCTGTTATCAATGAAGCATCACTGGAGGAAGTTGGATTCCTTTCATTCTTAAATAAAAATGAAACACATTTTTCCTTTCAAACAAAATGCACCAGAAGATTTGATGCATGTTACAGTTCACAGAAGAGCGTAATATGTAATCCCGTAACAGCCTGGCCGAGGACAGGGTCCAGTTAACTGGCTCTCGTACGCAAGACAACGAAACTTTGGGTTACGAAAAAGGCAGGAATATAATAAGCAGCCAAACACTTATCAGCTTTTCAAACAACGACTGCTCAAGGAAGTTAGTTAATATCACGGATGAAATACCAAGCAACGCTACAAAAATCGTGAGATTCAAGGTTCTCACATTGAAAATGCAGAAGTTAAGTCTTTTGAGTTGTAATACCATAGGGACCTGCAGTAGTTTTTGGCCAGTGGAATTTTCAAGGGGAAGGCTAGGAGCGAGTCACTTGTACGATAGTACAATGTTTCGTCTGCCTCCAGGAAGGACGAGGAGCTTGTCGAACTGAAAGCCCAAACAAAAGAAACACAATGACCGTGCCACCTCAGGTACACGGCGTAGGCATGTCCGCCAGCCAAAACCTACTGCACTCTTTTGGAGGAATATTCAGCCTCCATCTTCTGGACTGTAATCCACATGGCATTACCAAGATCAACATCATCACTATACTAATCATTCCCATTTACTTCCACACTGCAATCTTCATACTCACTGCTCGGAGAACCTCAAATCAATATTTTACTTAGCATGGATTATTTAGCATTAAATGACGCAAGGATACATTGATAAAAGATTGGAAAGGATCTGGAAGGATGCAGTTGTAAATGACAGTATTATCCAGGGCTGAAAAGTCGGTACTAAAATCTCCGACTCCTTCATAAAAGCTGAATATGCATTAATAATGGTAAACCTATTAAAATGGGAAATGGTACATCAGGCAGAGGAGTTTTCCTCTGGCCTCTGCATCCAGACCGGCTCTCCCAGCCTCCTCTACAATGGGTACCGGGGTCCTTTCCCGGGGGTAAGCCGGCCGGGGCGTGATGCTGACCACTCACCCCCATCTAGTGCCGAGGTCAAGGAAGAGAGGAGCTATACCTCCACTCACCCCAAACGCCTACATGGCGTGTAGTGGGACAAACTTTACTTTATTTTACTTTACAACATATATTTAAATATTATTGCAGAAATCGATTGATTTGTAGTCAGTTTCTATTCTTAAGGAACCGGAGCCAAAGTTACAAAGTATTTTTCCCGTACCACGTGGCTCAACGCGTCGTTGAATCTCCCTGAGCGTGAGGCAGGCGGCGGCTCACATGGTAGCAGAAGCGTTCTTAAGATTTTATATCCAGGTCAGAGTCGGCACATTTTTACCGACTCCACCTGAAATTGCATCCGACGCGACAGCCCCCGGCGTTATCACTGTACGTGCTTGCAGGTACTGAGGAAATCCATGAAAAACCTCAATCAGCACAGCAAATTTCTTAACAGGCGAAGATATGAACCTGGGGACTCCAAAATATGAGGAATGCCAGACACTTGACTGTAATGTTTGTTCCCCACATAGAGTGTCGTTGCGAGACACTTTGGAGCTCACTTGTGATTATCATAGTGGATAAACTGTGGCAGTTTATTCAAGGTGCAGAGTTACTGACGGGATAATTGTTACGGATGCACAACGGACTGCGACTGGTTCTTTGTTTTGAAGGTTGGAAAACTTTTATATGCTGTTCGTTTTAAGATATCTCTCTACACAAAATACACTAGTGTAGAAATAATACTCAAGAGTCAAATTCAGAAGCTTTGCAGCGTCTTTTCACTTGTGTGGTATCATCCGACCCAATTTCAGAAGGCTTTTCAACATTTCATCCTTTAATAGCTACTTAATTCACTGCAACTTCATTTTAATAAACATTTCGCCTTGGCCATTCACGATTTATTATTGCATTTGCTCGAAACTTACCTGGACGACGACGGAAGTCGACGGAGCCAGCAAGAGGTGGGGGACCTTCGTCATCAAAATCTATCGGACAGAAAATTTTTTAGTGTAAGCATGACACTTCGAAACTATGTACGATTACTCGGACTGTACCATAGCAAC